TTTTTTTGTGAAATTTTGAAATCAGTGGCAAATAAATTTGATTTTAATCGTGAACGAAATAAAATTAACACATTCCATTCCCACACTTTTAACATATCAAATTACAAAAATGGCCAACCGAATAAATGGAATTATATTAACTTACGAAAACGTGCGTCGTATTTCGGACTTAATAATGGACATCATGCAAATAATAATCCAGTGTCATCAAAACTCATATAACGAACAAGACCAAAGGTATAGAATACATATGCGAAGGGAAATGAGAACCGGACGAACACCGCAACGCGCAAATCAAAACGTGAGAAAATTTTACCGTTCGAATAAAAATCGTCGACATTGAAATAACATTCCAACAAAATGCTAAGTTGCAAATAAATTTTTTCTTATGGAAGTGATGTGTTGAAAAAAAAAAATAGTTATAAGTTGCAACGACAATTTCAAATTTTATATTTCAAACAAATAAAAATAAATTAAATGAAATATTTTTCATTACAACAACAATCACCCATTTGACAATTTGACACTTAAGAAAAGTTTATAAATTTTAATTTCAATCATTTTTTTTTATCTTTTCTCAAAACTTTCATTTTTTCAATAATTTTATCGAATCAATAATTCATTTAAAACATTTTTTCATTTAATCAAATATTCGAACGATACAATTAAGAAGAAAATAACAACGAATTTAAAGCAAATTTTATCAATGAATTTACTTAATTTTAAACAAATATTTTTTATTATTCAAATTATTTTTTTTTTTATTTTTTTTTTATTTTTATAAATGGAATTTATCAGCGAATTTAATAAATAAAAAGCAATAAAATTATTTTTGAATTCAAATAAAAATAAAATATCAACGAATTTAAATCAAATATCCTACAGGGGTATATCTACGAATTTTAAGCATTTATTTTACAATTTACAATTTATATACGAATTAATTTCAAGTTCTACATTCATTTTTACTTTCAATTACTTATATCTTTCTTCATTTTCCCAATATTTTCGTACAACTATAAGCAATTACATTCAATTATTTTTTTTTTTTTTTTTAATAATTTTCTTTCAATTTCCATACATAATTTTACATTTAAAAATAAACATTTATTTCATTTTTTTTTTTTTTTTTTTAATAAATCCAAATGACATTCAACCAGACACAATACGACCAAATAAAGAAAACATTCAACGATATAGCAAAGAAAATTTACAATTACAAATCAAGACAAATTCCAAGCGATCCTTGGAAAGAAAATACTATTACAGAATTTTTGATATCGTTCAACAATTTAAAAGTCTATATTAAAAACAATTTTAAAAATTTACAACAAACAGACCAAACTCGTTTTACAGACGCATTATTGACTTACGAAGACAAATTCATCGCTCGCTTGGCAATATTGGGGGTAACTTGTGAAAACTTACCACCACCATTTGATGAAATTGATCAAGCCTCAATAAAATCAATTTCAAAGGAGGAAGCGCTAAATATCTCACATTCTCATGACATTGATTTCTCTGATACGGAGAATAATTCGAATCCAAATACACAACCCTCAGGGAGTAACTCAGATACCTCAACGGTAACAAATAATTCGAATTCTGACACACAACCCTCGGGGAGTAGCTCAACTACCCCAACAGTAAATCATAATTCAATTTCAAATCAACAACCACAACAAATCACTCATAACAACATGGTCATGGAAAAGGTCGCTTACATGTCACTAATTGCAGCCAATATTCGGCATTCTTACAATGGTGACCCGCTGAAGCTACAACCATTTTTAGCATCTATTGATTTAATGAAAGAAATGGCGGAAGAAAATGTCAGCCTCCTCAGAGTTTTGACAAAATTTGTTTTGTCTAAACTGGAGGGCTACGCGGCTGAAGTAGTACCGCCCAATGCAACATCCATTGACATTATTGTTGACACTTTAAAAGATAAAATCCACCCTGAAGGTAGTAAGGTGGTGGAGGGCAATATGATGGCCCTTCGTGTCGAAAAAGGAAACCTCCTTGAATACGCGAAAAAAGCTGAAGAGCTTTCTAACGATCTTAGACGCGCATTGGTGATGGAGGGTATCCCCCTGGCAAAGGCAGAGGAGGTTATCACAGAAAAGACTATTGAACTCTGTCGAGCTAACACCAACAATTCGGTGGTACGCTCCATTCTGGGAGGCGGTCACTTCAAATCACCAAAAGAAGTAATCGCAAAATACATAGTTGAAACAAACACAACGAAGCAAGAAGCCCAGATCTTTGCCATGCGGAAATTTTCGAATAACCGCAATCATAACAGACACACCAACAACAAGACAAACAATTATAATAACAATAATAACAGACAACAGAGACAAAATAACTTCCAAGGGCACAGATCCAACGGCGGAAACTCAAACCGCAATTGGAATTCCAACCAAAACCGAAATTTTGGCGGAAATGGCAATGGAAACGGCCAAAGCAACGGTTATCGCGGCCGAGGCCGTGGTAATCAGCGTGGTCAACAAGGTGTGCGCGTAGTGGAAAATGTCGGGGCAGCTCAGCGCACCCTGGGCGAAGCCGACAACATCTAACAAAAACAATTTATTCCATAAATCCAAATTTTTCTGAATACATAATCATATACACAACTATAGCCAAAAAACAATGCATTTTCCTTATCGATACACAAGCAGATATTTCAGTCATCAAGATCGAATGCTTGACTGACTTATCTGACATCGATTCAAGCGAAATCATTGACATAAAGGGTGTGACAAATGGTATCACAGAATCCCTGGGTACCATCTACACAGACCTACTCCACGAAGAAAATTCAATAGAACAAAAACTACACGTAGTACCAAATGATTTCAACATTGGTGCGGATGGAATTTTGGGCAAAGATTTTCTCAAGCAAAATCAATGCAATATCTCTTACGAAAATATGACACTCTCATTCCCATGTAACAATAAAACTGTGCACATTCCATTACAAGATGGACCAGACTCAGACACTTTCGTCATCCCCGCCAGATGTCAAGTCGCACGTAGAATCAAACTAAAAACGTGTGCCAAAGGCCATCGATTTGTCAATGCACTCGAGTTGAAAGAGGGAGTTCTGGTGGCGCGAACAATAGTACACTCTTCAAATCCAATTGTTAGAATAATTAATACAACATCTCAGGTGCAAATTCTAAAATTGGGCAAAATTCATTCAGAAAGTTTGGATAACTTCGATGTTTATTCCATCGATGAAGTAAACAAGAAAAAAGAACGCACAAAACAAATAATTGACGAAATTTCAAAAAACACTCCTGATCAATATCAAGATAAAATAAACTCATTATGCAGCGAATTTAATGACATTTTTACTCTCGAAAGTGATAAAATGACGGTGAACAACTTTTACACACAAAAATTCCGCGTAAAGGATGATTCACCTGTTTATGTCAAAAACTATAGACTACCATACAGTCAAAGAGGGGAAATAGATCGCCAAGTGAAAAATTTAGCCAAAAATGATCTGATCGAGCCAAGCTCATCAGAATATAATAGTCCTATTCTTTTAGTACCGAAGAAAGGTAGTACTAAAAACAAAAAATATCGACTTTGTATCGACTACAGACTGGTCAACAGGAAGTTGGTCGCTGACAAATACCCCTTACCACGCATAGAGGATATTCTAGACAGTCTGGGACGTGCTAAGTTTTTTAGTATTATTGACCTATTTTCCGGATTTCATCAAATTCCAATCGATGAAAATTCACGTGACATAACAAGCTTTTCAACAACTGAAGGAAGCTTCAGATGGAAAGTGGTTCCTTTCGGTTTAAATGTGAGTCCAAATTCATTCTCCAGAATGATGGCAATAGCCTTCAGCGGTATACCAGCTGGAACGGCTTTTCTCTATATTGACGATATCATAGTGGTCGGTTGCTCAGAAGCCCACCATATGAAAAATCTACGAACCGTATTCGAAACAATACGAAAGCACAATTTGAAATTAAACCCATACAAATGCACATTTTTCCAAAACGAAGTAATTTTTCTGGGACACAAATGCACAGCAAATGGCATCTTACCCGACAGTGCAAAACTACAGGCACTCAATGACTACCCGGAACCGGATGACAAAGATTCAGTCAAAAGGTTTGTAGCATTCGCCAATTATTATCGAAAATTTATTAAAGATTTCGCGATATTGGCGCAACCTCTGAATCAATTGACCAAAAAGTCAA